CTCTTGTTTGTTCTCTTGGGTCAGGTTTGAAAGTGTCTACTTTTGCTTTGCTGCCCATGAGGGGTGGCATTGCTTTCCCTTCACCTAACAGAGACTTCAGTAACCCCAGGGGCTGGGTCAGGAGGGCATAGAATGACCACATTCTGCCTTCCGCTCAAACTTTGTCACTGAGTCTGGCCCATCTGCAGACTCCATCCTTACTTTTGTGATTTTCTTTCTCTCAACCCTCTTATTGTCTTTCCAACAACCTGACTTCTTTAAGGGCCCCTGGTATTAATCAAGACTTGGATGTATGAGATAGAAACCCAAATCAAATGGTCTTAGGCAAAAAGAGAAATTAATTGTCACCAAGATTCCAAGGAAGGGTTGAATAATTGAAGATGGAAGGGTAGGAATATAACTAGGCCTTAAATGCAACTGGTCTTTGAGTCCCTGGATTCCATTGTTTTTCAGGCCACAGGGCAGGCTCTCATTGGCCCAACTCGGGTCAGTTGTGGTCCTGGGGGCAGAGTCACATAAGAACATAGCAGCTCCTACAGAAACCAAATGGGTGGAAACGAAGGAGAGAAGAAATTCCTAGGCAACATGGATTGCTGTTGCTAGAAGTAGGCAAAGTTGTTGAACAGAAAAAGCAATCTATCCATCACACCCTCTATCCTTCAGATCCAGCTGGATATGCCTAAATCATTATAGAAAAGGTACAAATTATCTTACAGGATTCTGGGCCCTTGAAAATCAGAGATGTGGTCAGGAAGTTTAGACCCTATGTCACTCGCTGGAAACTTAGTTCCAGTCTGACTGGGACTCTGCTATGCGATATACTATATTTTTGGTTGTGAAATGTGCAGGGTGGACCCAGATTCCACAGAAATAACAACTCGCCCCTCTTAGCCAACCCTCCCTCTCCTTCCATCTTCCCTAAGTCAGTAAATGTACCATGGATAATCCAGTTGCCCAATCTGGAAACCCGGGAGTCATTCATTCCTCTTTCTCCCTCTTCCGAATTCTATCTGCTAAGTATCTTTCAGACTGCCCACTTCTCTCCAGCCCTGCTGCCACTATCCTCGTCCAAGCCCTCATCACCTCTCACCTTGCAGCCCTCTAGTCTTATACCCCATCAACCTATTTTCCATCTTATAGCCAGTGATATCCTTAAAAGAAAAAAATCTGCTCATGTCCCTCCCATAATTAAAACCTTAGTAGCTTTCCAATATTATGCTTCCTAATCTCTCAATATGGCTAATAATCACCCCTACTCACACCACCACCACCACCACGCCTGACCACCTGCTTGTCACCCTGCCCCAGCTCCTGCACGGTCCCTTTACTCTCTGTCATCTTCAGCAGAGGACTTCTTTCAGTTTCTCAATGGGCCACACCTTCTCCCATTTTCACTTTTTCACATGTGCTGTTCCCTCTCTCTGCAATGCTCTTCCCCCTACCTCTCATTCAGCTAACCCCTACTCATGTGTCATCTCAACTTAGTTTCTTCTGGTAACCACCCTTGGCTTCCCTCTCGCACATTCCTGTAGCATTTAAGACCTGCCATTCAAAACTCACGTCCCATCTGTAATAACTTGCCCACCACCTGTCTTCCCCTCCCAACTGCAAGCTCCTTGAGGGTCCGGGCCTTTCCTGTCTTGCTCACCACTGTATTCCTGGTCCACACGTAGTCCTGCAAGGTAAGTTTGTTGGGTTTTTTAATACTTTTTATTTTGAATTAATTTCAGACTTACAGAAAAGTTATCATAGTGCCTAGAACTCTTGTACATCATTTACCTAGAATCATCAATTGTTAGCTTTTGCCACATCAGCTTTATTATTTTCTATTTATGTAAATTTATATATATTTTCCAAACCATGTGAGAGTAAGTTGCAGACATCTTGCTCCTTTTCCCCAAAATGCTTCAATAGTATTTCCTAAGAATGAGGACAGTCCCTTCAATAACACCCAGGACAGTTGTCAAAGTGAGGAAAGTAACAAAGATACATGGATTCTAAAGCAAACATTTTATTTTTATTTATTTTTTTATTTTTTAGAGACGTAGAAAGTACTGGCAGAGGGGGCCATTCCCGTAGCTGAGCGGTTAAGTTCCTGGGCTCGCTTCGGTGGCTCAGGGTTTCGCCAGTTCAGCCCCTGGGTGTGGACATGGCCCTGCTCATCAGGCCACGCTGAGGCGACGTTCCATGTAGCTCAACTAGGGACCTACACCTAGAATATACAGTTATGTACTGGGGGTTTGGGGAGGAAAAGAAGGAAAAAAAAATTTTTTTAAAGATTGGCAGCAAATGTTAGCTCAGGGGCCAATCTTAAAAAAAAAAGAGAAGAAAGTACTGAGGAAGGGTGGCAGTGCAGGATTAAGTGCACACATTTACAGGGTCACCTCCCTCTCTCCTTCCTCTCTCTCTCTCTCTTTCCTTGTTCAGGGTTTGTTTCTTTTTTAAAAAAACTGAAGTTGTGATTGGAAGGCAGCACCTTGCTGGTTGTGTCTGTTCTTGTTCTTTCTGTGCCGCCAACTCGAACCAGTAACTTCTCTGCACCCGGGTCCATATCTGGCCTCCCCCATAGTCTTCTGTCGGGAGGCTGGAAGCCCCCTGAGCGGGATGGCTTTGTTTCACAAGGTCCCGGAGAGAGGAGGAAGCCCAGTCCACCGGAAGTGGAAGTTGGAAGGAAAGGTGAGGCACAGGAAGCGGGAAGATGGCTCCTGGGAGCCATAGTCATGCACGGGCATTTCAGAATCTCAGAGAAGGGGAGACCAGCTGTGGGGGTAGAGTCAGATTTGCACACCTTGGGTCCTGGGACCATCCTGCTCAGCTGAGTGGAATACCAAACGAGGGTGTCTCGAGCTGCGCTTCACCTCAGCCAGGCAATCGACAGGAGAAGCAGCGAGCGAGACCGACAGACTGTCACTGGCAAAATGAACTGTCACCTCCCATTTTTCAGAGGCACGGTGGGATGAATTGCAGCCTTGAACCGTGCGGCCCGCTGCTGATTGAGTTCCGCTGTCTTAGAACCCCTTCGAACAAGGCGAGTTCATTTCAGACTGACGTCCCACCGCTTATCAATTTAGGAGCCAGTGAAATTAACCGCTTCGGAGCTGATTTGCTCCCTCCCACTGCTTGGATTCCACATCCGGAAAGGTCACCAAATAAATCTCTCTGGGTCCCGCTGGCATAATAGGCAGCTTGGAGACGGGGTCTCAGAAAAGGAGACTGAGCCAAACGAAGCCCAGGCCCAAAAGGATGCTGAGGCCCCTCACAGCCACTGGCCCATGGCAGTGGTGTGACAAGCCAGGCCTTTGCTAGCTCTACTCGGGCCTGTATCAGCTTCTGCTCCCAAGAGACACTAGAGTTGGGTAGGGTTGGATGGCTGAGAATGGAGGTGCTACAGAAGACCCTCTAGTCTTTTGGCAGAGACCTCAGCACACTGTTTAGCGTCACAATTCCTATGACTGAATGTTTGTGTCCCTCCCCACCACAGTTCATATGTTGAAACCTTAATCCCCAATATAATGGTATTTGCAGATGGAGCTTTTGGGAGATAATTAAGGTTAGATTAGGTCATGAGAGCGGGGGGGGGGGGGGAGGGGGG